AAATCAAAATCTGTTGTAAACTGACTTTTGACTTTTTGAAAGACAGGATCTTGGGATGTGGCCTGAGCCCGTTTGGCAAGAGACTCTGATGCAGCACTTGAGAACGTCTGAGCAACACTGGAGACATTTTCAATCCCAACACCAAATGTACTAACGAGTTTTTTGACAAAATTCAATGTATGAGGTGTGATTGTGGTTTCCGCAACTGAAATATTAAGATATAGGCAAAAATAGTAAATTTATAATTTAGATTTTACAATGACCACACTATCTTGTATAGATGTGTACTAATAGACACCAATTTTGTATCAAGTAAATAGACAACATATTTTAAACTCAGATTAAGTATTTAATAAAGATATGCTTTTTGACAATTCTTCAATTATGAAAATACTAGAGAAATAATTTCACAATCACTTCATGATGCCTTGTACTTAGAGTATGAGAATTGTCAGATTTTAAAAGAAAGCATATATTGTTAGCAGGGTCCCCACTGAGTCTATATACCCCCCGACCCATTTTACTATATCTCAATTTTCCTTAGGTAGTATTCAATAAAAAAAAACAAATTCTATTGTAACCTAATTATGTACAATAATGGATTATATACAATATAGGGGAAAAATTCAATAATAAATACAATGTATCTAAAATCTAAATACAAATTAGAGATATGTCAAAATAGATCATACCATCTTAAATATTTTGCAGCAATTTCTAACATCAACTTGATTTTTCTTGAACAATCTTAATACATTCAACATTATAGATAAAAAATTAGTGAATTTTATATAGTGTTTTTTTCAAGACTTAGCATCATCAAAATAAATTCACAGATTTGGCCAAAAATGTCAAAATCCAAAATTTTTTAATCCTTTAGTAGTCAGTTGTGCGTAGTTTCATTTGTAATGTATATAAATGTAAATTCATTTTGTTTTTACCATGAAAGTGCACATTAGATGAAACATCGGCTAATAATATAGTTTTCGTATTGTCTTTTACCTTTATACATATTGTCTTTTTCTACAGGTTAACTGAGAAATTTTTTATATAAATGTAACTAGAAAAAAAACAAATGTTGATAAGATAGCAAAGGTCACAAAGCACAGCCTGGGGCCTCCAATCAGATATGAGCCCAACCCCCTGATCAGTAGGTTATGAGATAGTTCACACAAGCCCGGATCGTCAGTCACTTCAAGAGTGAAAGAAGTCGGTGCCAGAAACTATCAGTTTTGAAAATTCTACATTTACCTACCAACTGTGTGATCATACAATTCACTAATAAATGAAACTCATATTTTCTGTTTTGTTCATATTAATCTGGACTTTCAGAAAAGTACCTTTGTATGACAAGATAGCAAAGTTAAAAAAAAAAAGATCCATGTCATAAAATAGAAAATGTGATAGTGTATCCAAATCAGTCTGTAAATAATATCATTTGGAGAGGTATTTTTTTTTTTTATTTGGTAAAAGAAGACAGAAGGAAACTACTTAAAATGTTAACATTCAGCAAAGAAATTAAATTGACATAGTGAACAGTTTCTTGGTGCTCTTTTCAAATGAGTCCTTTTCATCTACTCAAATTTTCAAAACAGTGGAGGTAGATTGTTGATTATGACGAACAAATTTGGTACACTTGTTGTTCAGAAGTCATGAAATGTGTGGAAAATATCAAGTTAAATGTGTGTCCCTTCTCAAGTCATTCATTTAATAAATAAATAAATAAAAAACAACCTCAAAAATATAAAGTTCAAAAAGATATTTAGCAAATATTAAAACAAAGTCAGTCTCCTGCTATTAATCCTATTAAATATGTCTGGGCCATTTTGGAAAATAAATGAATCTCCAAAAATTTATTTGGTAATCTGGTCAGATATTCCACAAAAGATAGATTTGATAAATTTAACTACTGAAATAATAAAACCTTCAAAATTTATAAATAGCAACTTCACTAAGTTATAATTAATGTAAAATATTCTCAAAATGTTTAAATGATTGAATAAAAGATCTAATTTTCAAATAAGTATGAATTTATAAATATACACCCCCTACTCAACGTCCTTACACATTCTCTTTCGTGTGATACTACTGGATGTCAACATAAGGAGACAAGTAAGGGGAGGTGAGGTTCAGTGGTGTTCTGAAAGCTGCAATTTCCTCCCAGACTTCCAAGAGTGAGTTTGATTTCACATTTAATATTTCCGAATCATACTGACACCAACTTTGGGTTTATTTAGAATCTTCAGCTCACCTTCCACTGATCATTTTGTTTTTCAAACTTCAGCTTTTACTTGGTTCCATTTTTTTTTTATTGTGTGCACACATGCGCATATATATTCATAAACCATTTGCCTTTAGCTGTGGAGCCAGTGTAAAACACAATCATTGGTTGTTTGTTATATTCTTGCAAAGAACTAATATTATTTAAAAAATCTTATAAACATGACAATTAAAACTCATACATTTTGATATTTTAATCTTTCAGAGGAAAGACTATGACATGGATAATTTTCTTGTATGTCATTAGACAACTCTTGGGATGTTACAATTCATTCAATTTCTTATTAATCTTTTAAGAGTTATATCCATAGACAATAAATAAGTATAAAAAGGCTTCATGCACAAACAATTTGGTGACAACACAACAGGGTTGCATTTCAACCAAAATAAAAAAAAAAAGTATTTTGAGAAAAAAATGTCTCCAGTTTGGTTTATCAGTACTTACCTGCTCCACGATTTTCAAACGCAACCGCATTACACTTTGCTAATCCCTGATGTAATTGTCGTAAAACCTCCTCATACCAATTTTCACGGAACCATACCATCTGAAGTCAAAGAATCAAAACATATACACTACTTATTGAGAAAATATCATCTGGCTTTTCTTTGGAGCAGGCATTGTGATTTATGATGCCCTCATAGAAAATAACCCCTGCATATCCAAAGAAAAACTTTGCAAAAACTATAAGAACACCAAAAAGAAATGACAACAAAAATATTATATGGTTTGAAATTTCCAGGTGAGATAATGAAATAAAGTAACAGAAGTAGTGGGCATAAATGAGAGAGAGAAAACTAAGCATCCTTACCTGGTCGACAATGCCTTCCAAAGAAGAGAGGATCGTAGGATGTATCTCCCTTTGCATATGCATAATCTTACTACATCGCCACATAGGGGCTGTTGCCCTAATGGGACCACTTTCTCCATGCTGTGTTGTCGTAGGTGCTGCAGGTGGTGCTGTAGTTGTCATCGTTACTGTATGTGGGGGTGGGGGTGGTTGTTGTTGTTGCTGCTGTTGCTGACCTTGTTGTTGGCCAGCAGGGGAGACACTCGCCTGTTGAATTGTGCTTACAAAATCTAAATATCAAAATAGATATAAATTTAAAAAAAAATGATTTTTTTTATGTTAATGCACCTCAGATAACCAAGTGATATTAACAGACAAAAAATTGTCATTTAAAAGTTACTGCATTGACCAGATTTTTTTTCCCAATCAGCTCTTGTTTATATTTGACATAGAAAACTATATTAAATGGCTGTAACGATATAAATGAGGACCTCTACACCAAACCTTAAGTGATGATTACTCATATTGTCAATGAGTAAAGAGGATATATTCATTATTACAGGTTTCTGTTAAATTCATTTAAAACAACATTGACAAAAACTGAAATTTAATTCAATTTTACATACCATCTTTTGTTTGTTTTTTGTTTTTTTTTTTTTTTTTTTGTTTCTTAAAAATGGGAAAAATAAAGGGATACCTGAATCTGGAGTTGCTGGGGTTCTTGGTGTGTTGGGGCTTGTAACTTGCGATAAAGGTGTTGAAGCAGCAGAGTTTGATCCACCGACATTTGCATTTGATAAATTCAGGGTCACTTGAGGACTGCTGTTACTGCCTTGGATCATTGCATTCATGTCGTTTTTGACTTGAAAAAAAATTATTTTTAATTAAAAAGTAAAATATTGTGAACAAAAAAGAAAAAAAACTTTTTTAATAAAATAAACAAAAGACAAAACAGATGTTGCATTCCATCAATCTAAGTGGAATCATCTTGGAATCTGGTTGAAATCAAAGTTTTGGTGGTTATCTTAAAAGTGCATTCTGCCAAAATCATAAATCTGAAGAATCTAGTCACTGTCACCTGTCAAGTTGTTCAACTAAATCATCAAAGCCTGACGATTAAATAGACTTAATATTAATCAGACAACTGAACATTTTGTTTGTAGACGTGATCTTAATACTACAATTAGACCAAAATGTTAAATACAAAGAAATGGCAACATTGTTCAAACAGTATTTGGAAAGTCAGCTTCACAAAACTGACAATTTATTTTTTAAATTATTGCATTAAAGAGAATAAGCCTGTTTAATCATCAATCCGGATGTTAAATCGTAGATTGTTAATTCACCCGGTAAACCAATAAAACTGACAGCATTTCCTATTCAAAAGTTTTTATAAAAATAATCTGGAAAGATTTTTCTTAATGATTTAAAATGATTGATTTTGTTTTTTTAATGCATATCATTTAAAATCAGAAAATATTTATAAATTTTTGGACTGATATAAGTCCTATGAATTAACCCATAGCTGGAAGCAGAAGAGGTGAATTCATACCTTTCCCAAGGGTATTTGCACATAAGTGAATATAATGAACATACCTGGATTTGGAATTCAGTTCTCAGACTTCCAATTCTAAGTCATTACTCATTACACCACCCGCACATTTAAGCTTACAGTACCTGGTATTCCCAACTGGTCACCCATCTAAGAACTAACCAAGCTCAAAGTTGCTCAACTTTGGTGATCATATGAGAACCAGTTTTTCAACATGATTTGGCCATAAGACATGATCTAAACTGAAATCCCTAAAGCAAACTATGACTGTCAGCTGCACATGCCAATTAACTAACCATTAATCTCCTTTTAACTGACGGACAATGATTAAGTTACAAGCGTTTTTATAATTCATTTTTTCCCCCAGAAGATTGTTATCCATTCAACAATATTTCTATACTTACATCTTTCTCTTTGTTCAATCTTCAATGTTAGATAAAGTGTTCTGATAGGGAAATAAACAGCTTGTGGATACATTCTGCCGACCTGAGAAAGCAGGTTCAGAATCAAACGGCCTTCGTTTCTAACTAGACATGTCAGCAATTGTGGTATCCTGAAATAGAGAACCAACAGAATAAAGACAAGGCTATAACAGAAAATAGTAACAAATTTCACACTCAAATAAACCCTCTTCTATTTAAAAATGGAAAATGTGGTTTCTTTTAAACACTGAACAAGCAGACAAGTGATTTTTTTCTCATTTCCACATGTTATTTAGGTTTTTTCTATAATAGAGTTTCAATTTAGAATATGTTAATATTTCATTTTCTGTTTGACTCTTGTGTTCTTACCTTAGCTATCACCATATTTACTAAATATAAATCAAGTCAAAAGCTGATAGGTTGTCAAGGTTTAAATATAGTAACAGAATTATCTACTTACCAAGGTAACCACTGTACAGGTGGCACACCATTTGAATATTTATCTACAGCTTCAGCAAGTGTGCTCTTTTCATCATCATAAGTAAGCAGCCAAAGTACCTTGGCTAGAAACTTTCGTGATCGGCTTTCATTTTGATGTCTGCATGCATGTAGGTAACAAGTTATGGCAAATACTCCTTGTTGGATTTGTCTACAATAGAAGAAAAAAAAATAAAACTAAATGGAACTAAGAAATCGCAGAAGCTCAAAAAATCTCTAAAACTAATGTTAATTTCAAGCATATAAAATTATAACTGGAAAATTGTTTAAACCAAAAACACCGATAGAAGTACTAATATTTTAACACTTAATTCCTATTTACATTAGAAGTTCAAATTATTAAAAAATATTCAAACAGTAGCAGATAAGTTCATTAAAAGAGTTACTAACTTTATCTACAAATTATATTTGCCAACACTAAAGACTTTTCCTCAAAATAAATATTAAATATTTGAGGCCGCATCTTTTGTAATGTTATTGTTTTTTTTTCTTAATTTTACTGTCAATTATTGTCAAAATTGGGGTATATGCTTCACACCAAGAAATACAGTAATTTTTTTTTTTTAAACCTTAATTATATAAATAAATGGTAATTGTTCTGATGAACATTCCTCTATGGTACCTAGACTTTATAAATTTAAGTGCAATACTATATTGGTAGCAAAGACTCATTTTACAGTTGAAATGGCTAGATGTAACTATGTTCTATGCTAACAGTTCCATCTATTACATTTCTCACTTATGGAACTCTTCCAGCTTCTGAGTAAAGATTGATCTTCAAAAATTTAAATACAATGTCAATTATTATCTTCTGTCTTCTTATTGTTTTCCCTCCTTAATAGTGTTTTTTCTGATATTCTCTAACACTCAGTAACCCCTTACATCTTAGATGGATTTATTGCCTTGCTTTGGATGAAATGATTTTTAAAAAATAACCAACAAACAAACAAGAGAATTGAACACTTGTAATTTGTTTTGCACCCAAGATGTTTTTCTAGGATCAGTGTAATACTTGTGCACTCAGTGAGAAAAAAAATTACACACACACAAGCACTTGTGACTCAAGCTGACAAATTTCACTTTATTTTGAAAAATTCTACAAATAAAGGGAAATAATCATGTTGGTCTTCACACAATGGCATTAGTGTGCTGCGCAATCCTTTGAAGTGTGCTACGAAATATTGTCAGAGCATACGTGTGTGAGTAGTAATGGTACAGCATTAGTATTTGAATAAAGGAATAAGTATTAAACTTTTTCAAACAATTCTTTTCAATATTCTTCAATTATGTTATTTTAAATACTTTGTTTTATATTCATTTTTTTAAAAGTATTTTTAGTTTTTTTAAATTTAACTTTCTAAAATTTTCCTTTATTTGAATAAATGAACATTAACCTTTTTTTCATATAATTGTATTCAACATTGTTTGATTTACAAAATTATATTGAATTATGAATTCATATTTATACTTTGTTCATATTTGTGCATTTTCTTTTAAATCTAAGGTTTTTATTTCATAACATTTAAACGTATACCTTGTAAAAGTTTTGCTATAAGATTTTCATTTGCTCCTAGGTGTGCCATTGCTTAAAATTGAGAAACATTGGATTAGACTGCAAGTCAATACTTAAATTCTTCTACTGTATATGATATCCTAAATTGCACATATACTAAATTTTGTTTAATTTTTTTTTTTTTTTTTTTTTTTAACTGAACCCAAGTCACCACTGACATGTGCATCATCATTATCATCTTCCCTTGTGACTTATATGGCCACACGTCTGATAAAGGGAGTCAAATAAAAAGTACTTAAACATCTGAGTGCCATACATGATGCATTTCTTGTGACAATGACAATCACTGTATTTATCAGCAAATGATTTAAACCCATCAGTTCTTATAAAGTTGATATGCTCTACCCACATAAAAAATTTTTCTTTTACTCCAAAATCTTCTCATATTCTATAACATGCAGAATAGAATGTTTTATTAGCATACTTGTTGGTGAGAACTAAATTAAATAAAAAGCATTATTTACATGTGGACCATTAAATAAAAAAAAAAAAAAAATCATATTATGCACGTGTATTTACTTGTCTCGGCTGAAAATAGCATCCAAATAATCGCCCCATTGGGCCCATGCCTTTACAAGTGTGTCAGTCATTTGAACAGCCGCAGAAAAAGCTTTGTTAGCATCCTCGGATCGGTTGAGCTGAGCCAAAAATATGCCTTTCAGAGCATATAATTCGGCTGTCATTTCTTTTGTAAAGTATTTCAGATTTGTGTTCTCAATTACATCCAAACCTTGGAGACACAGCTGCAAAGAGAAAAACAGAAATATATGGCAAATAATCAGAAAAAGTTAATATCATTCAACGATATATAAAGTAAATATATTGTAAGATAATTAGAAGGAATAGTTCACTAAACACAAGTTTTAGTGAAATATATTTGTGACAGTTTATTGGAGGTATGGTAAGTGGTGTACAGTAATTGATAAGAGTGCTGTCCCACTTGTTTACAACTCCATGATAAAGGTTTGCATTTTATACCTACCATATAAGTCAGCCCCTAGTTTTGGAAATACCTTTATTCTTAGGCTTGAAAACTCTACTTGTACATCATAATTTACAGTAGAAGGAATTCAAAAGATTATTTGGTACACATAGATCACATAGCACACAAATTATAAGACTATTTTTTGGGATACCAGATTAATCTAGAGTATTTGAGGATAAAATTAATTCATATATCATTTCTGATGGCAAATTTATGAAAGCAGATATTTACAGGAGGAAAAAAAAAAGATCTAGTGTTGTAAGATGGAATTGATTTTTGTGAACTTCGTTGACTCAGCTTTTTGGCTGGATAAGCTTTCAGATAGAAAGACTGGACATGTGTGAGATTTGAATAGTCAAAGGATTTTTTTAGATAAGTAATTACCATTCCCACTATTTACATTGTTTGGATTGCTGTCCTCATCTTCACAATGTTTTGGCCATTATAGGCAACCACTTTGGGTCAGAGTGAATCTGGGAACAACAGAAATTAAAAAGTGAATCCACAACAACATAAACATATCACAGAAACATGTATTTAATGAAATAAAGCATTAGAATTCTGATTTGTCAGTCACAGGTCAATCTGGCCATAAAAAGGTGATTTCAAGTTAATCCTACAATAATGATGATTTATATTTGGAAACAATTTTTCTTCTGTAGTATTGCATTGATAATAGTATTAAAGCCATTTTGATTGGAGCATTACAAGGGAGATTTTGAAATTCTTTGTTTTTGTTCATAAATATTTATGCCTTCAGGATATATAAACAAAAGCAACTTACATCTTGTAGCTCTGTCCGTGTCATCGTACTTCCCATTTGAAGATAACATTTTAATTGTTGTCGAATTTTTTGAAAACAATCAACTATTGGAACAGCTGGAATTGTATGAATCCTGCAAAGAAAAATTGTTTCATTCCCAGAGCTTTAGTTTAAAATCATTAATTTGAAATCAAATATTTCCTCAATCTATTTGAGATGAATTTAGCAAAGTACATTATATGAGGGAGGAGTGCTGAAAAGTTACTGAACAAACCTACTTCCCAAAAATCAGTATTCTGAAGTTTGATCATTAAAATACTGATTTTGAGAAGAGAGATATGCCATGAACTTTTCAACACTCCCTTATCAATCTAAATTAAATGATTAATCAAAAGTTTACATTTAAGTAAAGTGCTAGTTTTATAAGTATTGTTCAGCCAATATAAATATTCCAAAGTTAATTTTAGCCAAATATTTCAGTAGCAGTCCCACGAGTGGACTGTCAAGTCACTTTTCTTCAGAGATTCAAATTAGAACAGAGTTCACTTAATTTTATATTTTTGCTGATAAATGAGGTCACATTTTCCATAACTATAAATATTTTTATATTTTATGCATTAAGAGAGATTTTTGTCATCATCTTCCACCTTTAAGTGATGTTATAGATGCATACTTAACAGATTTAAGAGAAAAATAAAATGCAACTAACCTGTTCAGAGAATCAAGGCAAACTCCAGTGAGATTGTGCTTGCGTGCTATTTTTCCAAAATGGATTATTGCTAAAGAGGAATGATGGACTCCTAACATGGATTGACTACTATGCTGTAAAATAAAATCAATTCAGATAAATAATAAAAAAAAAAGCCATTTTTAAGGACTTCAACAAAATTCATATGGATATCTGTAGCAATATATGATGATGCCCAATAAACAAGGTAGTTGAAAAATAGACACTCAATTGCACGTGACAGCTCAAAGTACTTAGGTGCAAAATTAATCTATCTCCAGTCTGTCTTGACCAAACTATTTTGATCTGGGACGAGTGTGGGCTGGGAACTTGGATTTATGACTTCCTAATCAAACTGACAGGAGGGAGAAATTCAAGATCTAGAAAAGAGGTTCTGTTTTTCCCTGCTAGCTTGTTCACCCCCTATTTGACACTTTATTTCCATCTATTTCAAAATCTAGTAGCACATGAATAAACAAAGATTCCTTCAACTGTTTTTTTGTCATCAATTTTTAATAACAGAATCACTTGAAAAACCTAACCAGGTGCTGGTCAAAGGTACAATGCTACACATTATTTCCAGATGACAGTCAAAAAGAAAGCTTTTGAAATCTTACAAATAAACATCTTTTAAAGCCTTGCAAATATCTCTGCTTGCATCCCAAAAATTATTTCCAAATTAAAAACAGATTCAAAATTACCTAAAATATTCAAAAATATCTGAAAACTTCTTAAAAATTTCTCTTTATTAAATAACATGTGACACACAATTTGGAGAACCAATCATGATAACTCAAATTTTCTTTTTTTTCTTTTAGTTGCAAAGAAAAAATACCCATTAAATGAGTGCTTTCTCCCAACATTCACAGTATTGAAATCCTCACTATTTATTGTTGTTGATTAAATTGTTTTTTTTTAAAGTAGTACGAGTATTTTGTATAATAAATAAAACTTTTAAGTTTTCTAAAAAAAAAAAAAAAATAAATAAATAAATAAATAAATGAATGAAAATTGATTGTACTAAGCTATACACTAGTAAAACCAACTTTACTTTTTACTCCCTTATCTGTTTGCACTTCTCCCAAAAATTTTGTTTTGATCAGTCAATGTATGGCTATTTTAGAGGGTGTGACAGATAGACAGACTAATGGGAGTTACAGAATTTTATAGATAGATAAGATCTATATCTCAGACTAATGGTAGATAATTGAATGATAAAATATTATGTAATGTTTCATCCTTCAAACGGACCTCAAATTAAAATAATCTTTTTATTCACGGAATTATATATATATATATATATATATATATATCTCTCCAAGTATATAATTGGTATATACGGAATGAATTCCAATAACCAACAATTACTATTCTTAAAAGAGTGCTCAATACAAAGTAGAGCAGATATAATTTTTTTTAAAAAATATATATATATATATATATATATATATATATATATATATATATATATATATGTATATATAAATAAATCTTTATTTTGCAAGTGCAGTTTGTATTAACCATTTTGGTAATAAATATAAATTATATAACAATGATTTTTACAGATATGACTTGTATAAAAATAGATTGAAATAAACTTTTTGCCTAAAAATACTGTTTCTTTAAGTCAAAATTATGGTCACATTCATTACAGTTAATGCATTGAATGTACTGCTTTGTGAAAGATCCTTTTTGTGTTCATATATTCTTTTATCTAAATTCCTGCAAGTCTCAACTACATATTTCCTGTGACATTTATTACAATTTATAGTTCCTGCTTCAGGATTTTTAAATATTTTTAAACTGCCAAACATCCTATTTCATATATAATGCAAAGTGGAAAGCTCATCAAATTCATTGAAATAGAAAAATATAAATAATCATAATAAAACTAAACTCGTAATAATATCCACCAATTCAATCTCAACTACAGAATTTCTAAAACAATAACAGATTTAATTAATACACAATAAAATAACAGCCTAAGACCTGAAAAGGTCAGCTAAGCTGTACATCTATAGATACATCAGCTGCTAGAAGTTTAAAGTTTTGATGTCTCTACATCTTTGGCATTTCCTCTCAATGTATTAATTATAACCAACATTGTTGTTTATATTTTCACCCACTCTCCCAATATATCTTTCCATGGAGAAGCAATAACTTGAATCACTCTCATTGTATACAACTTCAGTAACATTTCCCCAACCTTGGTCTAGAAAAGGAAAAATCCCATTTTCATTTAAAATGATACACAGTCTGAGCATATGCTCCACACCAGTGTTGCTGAAACTAGAACCAAAAAACTGCCATGTTTTTTTTGTTTCTAATATTATAAACAATTGCAATTGGTAAAATTTTCAGTATAAACATTTATATGATAAATACACCATGTGAATTTCTTTTTTTACTAAAAATATTTGGTGTGAAATTTTTGTATAAGAATCTTTTTTTTTTTTTTTTAAATAATAATGGTTTACCGATACAAGTCTCATTTATTACTCCATAGCTAGGAGGAAGAGAAGAGGTTGATTCATACCTTTCCCAAGAGTATTTGTGTGTAAATGAATATAACGAACCTAACAGGAATTGGAACTCAGTTCTCCAATTAACAATTTACAAGCCATTATCTATTAAACCACTCACAGATCTAACCTTACAGCACCTGATATTCCCAAGTAGTTACCCATCCAGGTACTGACCAGGCACAATGTTGCTTAACTTGGTGATCATATGATGTTTCAACATGATGTAGCCATAAACCAAACTAGTATCTTTAAGTAAATATCATAAAGAGAAACATATGTTGGATGTAGTACATGAATACTCATTCCTTGTGAATGTAGAGCGAGATTGGATGGCCAAAATAAAGGTTGGTTCCTTCACGGAAATAGCCAACCAATACAATATTGGAAGCAGATTAGTGTTTTGGGCTTGTATTATAGGCAGTAAAATTATAAGTCTCTACAAAGTTGATGATAGCAAGATAAATTCAAAGTTCTTGGATAAAAACATTTTGAGTGGTACAAAGAAGCTTTTTTCTTTTTAATCATTTCAACTTCAAATATTGACCTGCATTCATATTTATGATTTTCTTAAAGTTGTTAAGCTCAAATATTTAATGATGCAATGGGGGAATTTTCACAGATATTTTATAGTCATAGGACTCACAAGGAGCTTAATCATTAACTTAACAATTAGGATTCATCAGAAAATTCAAATATGAAAACTGAAATATCTGTCTAAATTATAGCTATTTTTGATGAATAAAACTTTTCTCTATTATTGTAATGGTGCGTTTTATCTACAATTTACACAACAAATTTATTATAATTTTCATCTCAATGAATAATTATATCTTCAGTTCAAGTTTTGATTTAGTGCATATTGTAACAGATCATGTAATGTTATTTTTTCAGCAGTACAACAATATTTTATTTTACATAATTGTAACACTATAAGCATTTTTGTATTGGGGTGTGTAAACACTTCAGGAGACTATCCATTTTTGGAAATCCGAGGTGACTAAAATAGGGTTAAAATCAAAATGAAAAAGTTTTCTAAATGTTTCAATTACTGAGTTATTATCATAAGAGAATACTTTTTTTTAAAAATAATATTCATTTGCAAAAGCCAATGAACCTCAATCAGACAAAAATCAGAAACTGATACAACTTGATAACAATGCAGAAATTAAGAATTCATTTTCTTCAGAAAAGTTATTTGGAAAGGGGGACTCTTCATTCAACAATTTCTGTAAACACATCCTTTTCTTTTCCAATGTGTTTTATTGTCATTAATATAAATATCTTTGTTATGTTTCATAAACCTAGAGAAAAGCAGGGATTAATAAGTATTTAATATGAACTGTACATCTGCAAGGATATTAAATCAGATATAATCATAAAAATTCAATGAAAGTTTAAACAAAGAATGTAAATCAACATTAGAAAATTATTTGGATACCATTATGATTACCTCTGTCTCATAATAGTTATTACACTTGCATACACACACTTCATACATGAAATGTATAAACTATTATGGAGGAAGGTACTACTATTACATCTTTATATTTTTGAATAAGGTTAAAATTACTGTTTACAGTAATTAAAAAAAATTACTGCTTACAGAAAAAATAAAACATTTGGGAATTCTTGCTTAAAACAAAATAGTTTGGGATGAAGGGAAAAGAGGGGAAAAAGAAAAAGAGGGGAAAAAGAAAAAGAGGGGAAAAAGAAAAAGAGGGGAAAAAGAAAAAGAGGGGAAAAAGAAAAAAGGGGAAAAGAAAAAAAGGAAAAAGAAAAAAAAAGAAAAAAGAAAAAAAAGAAAAAAAAAAAAAAAAAAAAAAAAGGAAAAAGAAAAAAAGAGGGAAAAGAAAAAAGAGGAAAAGAAAAAAAAAAGGAAAAAGAAAAAAAAAAAAAGAAAAAAAAAAAAAGGAAAAAAAAAAAAAAAAAAAAAAAAAAAAAGAGGAAAAAAGAAAAAAAGAGGAAAAAAGAAAAAAAGAGGAAAAAAGAAAAAAAGAGGAAAAAGAAGACAAAAAGAGGAAAAAGAAGACAAAAAGAGAAAAAAGAAGACAAAAAGAGGAAAAAGAAGACAAAAAGAGGAAAAAGAAGACAAAAAGAGGAAAAAGAAAAAAAGAGGAAAAAGAAAAAAAGAGGAAAAAGAAAAAAAGAGGAAAAAACTTACTTCAGTTTGTGTATGGTTATCATGGTTAGTGATAATAAACTGGTAATGGTGCTGACGCCAGGTAAAAATGTCACTCCAATGAGACATATTGTCAGAGATCATAGGTAGCCTATTCCTGAAATTAACAACAATTGTAAAGCTTACAAAATATATCAATCATTGACAAGAAGAAAAGTGCAACAGAGAAAAAACTGAAGCAACATTATTGGAAGCAACAAAATAAAACTTATTTGAAATGCTTTTCTTGTTACCACCACCGCCCAAATCTGGATATGAGATCTGAAGATATGAGTTAAGGGATATCATTTATTAATTGAGAAAATGTGTGAAATGAGGTAACAGGAGCCAAATATAATATTCTCAAGCATAGTTATTAGATTCATCTTGATATTTTTGATTCAGGAGTTTCTAGGCTGCTTTCATATTTAAATATATCATTTATTGTTGTATGTAAATCTCCTAAGCCCTTGATCAATGACTGCTTTACTCTGGCCTCTCAGCTAGGGAACAGTTCCAACCATTAATCACATAATTAGAAGAACTTAACTATATTTATTTTCAGGTGAGTTTTTTTTTTTTTTAACTAAAGTTCAAACAATATAAGACTCAAGAGTTACTCAAGGTAGAGGATTACTAAATGAAGTGTGTGATATGAATGAATAAGAAGTGAGGATGAGGAGGATAAATAACAACTGACCCTAAGATTAAGATTAAGATTGTAGTGTAGAGGGTTACTATGAAAATGTTTACGATGACTGAGGCGTGTGAGATGAATGAAAGATGAGGCGTGTGAGATGAATGAAAGATGAGATGAATGAAAGATGGAGATGAATGAAAGATGAGGCGTGGAGATGAATGAAAGATGAGGCGTGTGAGATGATGAATGAAAGATGAGGCGTGTGAGATGAATGAAAGATGAGGCGTGTGAGATGAATGAAAGATGAGGCGTGTGAGATGAATGAAAGATGAGGCGTGTGGAGATGAATGAAAGATGAGATGAATGAAAGATGAGGCGTGTGAGATGAATGAAAGATGAGGTGTGAATGAGATGAATGAATGAAAGATGAGGCGTGTGAGATGAATGAAAGATGAGGCGTGTGAGATGAATGAAAGATGAGGCGTGTGAGATGAATGAAAGATGAGGCGTGTGAGATGAATGAAAGATGAGAATGAAAGATGAGGCGTGAGATGAATGAAAGATGAGGCGTGTGAGATGAATGAAAGATGAGGCGTGTGAGATGAATGAAAGATGAGGCGTGTGAGATGAATGAAAGATGAGGCGTGTGAGATGAATGAAAGATGAGGCGTGTGAGATGAATGAAAGATGAGGCGTGTGAGATGAATGAAAGATGAGGCGTGTGGAGATGAATGAAAGATGAGGCGTGTGAGATGAATGAAAGATGAGGCGTGTGAGATGAATGAAAGATGAGGCGTGTGAGATGAATGAAAGATGAGGCGTGTGAGATGAATGAAAGATGAGGCGTGTGAGATGAATGAAGTTCTAAAACTAGTGGAACTCATAACAACAGGTTGTCAACATTGCACCTGTGAGAAAAGAGGCAGCAGATTGGAAGTCATCTTCAACAAGACTGTATAATCAATTTTGAACACTATCCACATAGCTACAAAATGAGAACTGAACAGTTCCAGCCAAGAATACTGCATTTGTTTTTGACTACGTTATTCTGCTATAGAATCAAATTGGAGAAAAAAGTGAAAAATGTAGCTAATTTTTTTAATCCTTTCACCCCAGGAAAGGCAATAAGGCCACTAAGTGTTACTGAGTATTAGAGAATGAGAGGTTAAAAAAAAAAAAAAACACTATTAAGGAGAAAGAACGATAAAAGAACAGGAATTAGGAATTAAGACAGAAGATAATGATTGACATTGCATTTAAATTTCTGGAGATAAAGTTAACTGGGGAGCAAGAAACCAAAAAAGAGTTCCACAAGTGAGAAGAAACTGTTAACACATAATTTACAGTTACATCTAGCCATTTCAACTGTAAAACAAGGAGACCTTGTTGCCAATCTAGTACTGTGCTTAAATTCATAAAGTCTAGGTACCATAGAACAAAGTTCATTAGAACAATTACCATGAAGGTATTTATAGAAAAGGCACAGGGAATCTACATTACAACAATAGGGAAGTGAATGAAGCCAAGATGCCAGGTCAGGACCAATAACATTGCTGATTCTTTGGACTTTATCATGAATCTCTAAATATGTAACAGGAGCACCAGACCAAATTTTTATTTTGAAATGGTGGTGATCTCTATGAATGAAAACATGTCTCATTTCTCAATATGCCATCTCTGAGTGGACATTAAAAGCATTATTTATATGGGTTTCTGAATGAGGAGAATCCACAATTTTCAACAATGGTGGAACAAGCAGATGATGATTACAACAGATCTCAACAGTTGAACTAGTGGATGAAGAGAGCTATCATAATGGACAAACTACAAAACATGCCACTCAAAAGAGTCAGCAACAGTCCATTGCAGTTTCATAACTGGATTATGCCGGTCTCCTTCAATATGTGATGCAGAGGAAGGTCGTGTGTGTGTGTGTCACTTCCTGGCAAATTATGGCCCACCTTAAAAAAATTCACACCGCTGGCACTTTCTTCTACTCTGATTTTCTATCACCTTCAACTCTTGCAAAGGTAAACGGCAATAGGGAATGAATGACAGGAGCAGGTTTTGATGAAACTGGAAGCTTCTTGGTCGTGAATTTAGTCATCAATGCTATCATCATAAAGGAAGTGATCAGCAAAGAAGAAATTAATTCTTTAACTGATTGCAGCTTTAAACATTGACTTCCTGTTCCCACTACTCTGAACATTAACTACTATTCTTGTAACTCATTTCAAAAAAATATAGTATCTTTGTTGCCATTAAATATGGTACTTTAATGGATGAAGGAAAGTAGTAGGAACCTAGGCAAGGCTTAGAACATCCATAAAGTGGACTGTGAATGATTTTATCCAAGACTGAAGGATTTGGTATTTTATGACTAACAATAAAGCCTAAAAGAAAGCTCATTAAAGTGGTCTCTCACTGTCCAGAAATAGTATTAAAAAAATAAATTAAAACTTTTGGGATCAAGTACCACTTTGCCAGAAGTTGGGAAGTTCCAATCACAGGCTTATATAAGCAGAGTCAATTAAAAATTGTCAGTTTTGAGCCACCCATTTGTGGATGGCAGGCCATAAGTGTATGTATAGGAAGAAAGACAGGTCATGAAATAAGAGATGAGCAGTAGAGTGGTAGGTGAGAGTTGGTAGTCAGAAGGGCATCAAGAGATAGTAAGATTATGAGAGAAAGGAACAGAGGCATTTTCTAGCTGAAGTGAAGACCTGGTTTGTTAACCTGTCATGAGAGAAAACAAGTAGCAGCAAAGATGTCACCTACTTTCCTACCCCAAAGCCATGTCGAGAGAATCAGCAAATAAACCAAATATATTAGAAACAGGATTTGTGTTTTCATATTTCTCACTATAAAGTTATTTTCACTTTCCGCTCCCTTGTGAATGTATAACAGGCCATTCTACTTTTTTGTTCACATATACACAAATGAGACTAAAAAAAACAACATGAGGGGAATTGTCCAGTTGGTGAAGGGCTGAGAGAATTACATGGTTACACTACTATTTTTGACATAGCATACAGGAACAAAATTCTGGTTAGATAATACAAGAAGCATACAAACCTCCAAGTTTTAACAATGGCCTTTAGGTCATGTAAAGATGAGCTTCGGTTGATATTGGCAGGTTGAAGCCCTAGGTTTATCTGTGCAGCTTCTTGGAGCTCCATGATCTGCTGTGCTGCCTTCATTTGAAAAATTAAACAAAAATCATAAAAATCAAGTGGTATGCCAATAACGTATGATATCATTGAACATGTATCAATCATACATGCACACATGTAAGGACAAACATTCTTTATTGCAATCACAAGTCCCATAACCCATTAGGGTGGTAGGGCACCACATGCACTACAGCCATAGAAGCCACAATATGTCTTGGACTAGATAGCCTGACAGAGCCCAACCCTCTTCAGGTTGATTTAAATTCAGTTTTCCTTCTCCTAGACTGATTGTAAACCAAGATTATCAGCTAGTCTATCCTGTTATTTACCCATAGCTAAGAAGGGAGAAGAGATAGATTCATAGTTTTTCCAAGGTTATTTGTGCATAAGTGAATGTAATGAACTTGACTGGAATTCAAACTAAGCTCTCTGATTTCTCATTCCAAATTACTATTATACCAACACGCATTCTATATTGAAATAGAACATTAAAAAAAAAAATAAAAACATTGACATGTTATTAATGAGAAAGAAAAACCATTAAATCAATATTAATGTGCTTCTGAATTTTAAATGTGAGACTGACATGCAAAAATCTTTTATCATTTCTACACAATGAGTTGTATGGCATTTTGGAAAGAATAGAAAAAATTAAAAATGAGAAAAGACACCAACCTGATACATTATCATATATTTTATTTCCTCCTTTACTGCTGTGCAAAGAAAGCAATGGTTGAACAGAAAAGTCATGGTTTCATTTTATTGAGACTAAATTTCAAATGACAACTTACTTGTAAAAGTGGAATATGCACATTTGAAACAATCCTAGGGAGACGCCTCCATTCTTTAATTGCTAAATTACTTGCTACTTCCACCATTTTCTCAATCTGCAAAGCAAGAAAACCATTTTCATGCCTCTTAGAATACTGTAACATTTGTTTTCCAATTTTCAGAGATATGACAATATAAAATTTGGGAATGTAAAGTTGAAATTACAGTTAAAATTGTTTTTTTACATCACTATTTTTCTTATAATACTAGCAGCTTTAATAAGAATTAACAAATCCAATATCAGGGAATTGTGAAGATAATGTTGAAATTCATAGCAAGTATTGGGTGGTCCAAAGTTTGTGCAACTATTGTTTAAGAGCATGCACTCACAAAGCAGGAAATGGAAGTCATCTGTGTGACATGATCTTCCATAATTAAAGCAATAAAATTTTTAAATGATATTTTACCATATAGAGAAATAATATTTGGCAATCTTTAACCTTTGTGTCCACAAAAAAAACTGTGTCAAAAGGACGGTTTTTCCCTTGACATTGCTAATATTTTAACCACCTTCACTTCTCAGCAATGTTTATGGTTTTAAAAAGTGATGATTAGAATATTAATAAAACCTAAAAACGCATTTATACATTTTCTTTGTCCTTGAGAATTTAGAACAAAAATAATATCAGAATGGTTGGCAAAACATTGGCTAATTGCCAATCAATTCCAACTTTCTAAAATGCTAAATAAGGATTTCCTTATAGTTGGTTCACATATTTTAATAATTTAATAAATGTTTATAAATTTATGAATAAAATATTGTTTTCATATTTATTTATATATTGGTAAACAATAAATATTGCTTTAGTTTTAATACAATTGTATTATTTTTTATAATGTTATATAGTTATTCTCGTATATAAATAATTTAATAGTGTTTACTATTTGACATACCATTTTTTTGTAGGCATGAATATTAAAGATTGCCCAATATTTAATGTTTTAAATAAAAAAAAAATATTCAGTTTTTTTGAAAGGTAACATAACTTTTGGGCCAGCCTGTATAAACCCAGGATAACCACAGGTTTCTATGTATGAAAGAACATATAAAAAATAAAATAAATAAACCTCAAATCTTACAGTACTCATCATATTGCTATGGTGATCATCAGGATGGCATATTGTAATGTAACCTTTGTAAAGGTTCATTTTCCAAGACAGCTCCTTAGGACAGTTGACTTCCACCTAAAATCATCAAAACAAATGGAATTAGGGATTCTAACAGAAACCCATTTTAACAACATTCATTATTTAGACCTAAACAATGACTGCAATACAATTCATTCAAGATAGTTTTTATTGATTTATAATTCATAAAACTCAGGTCTTGTATAAAACTAGATAGAAAAAGTTTATATTTTTTTCTTTTTTAATCATTTCACCTCTAGCAAGGCAATAAAGTTGCTAAAATGCAAAGTGTTACTGAGTGTTAGAGAATACAAGAAAAACATTTCAGAAGAGTCAAGTAAGAGTACAGGAGTTAAAAAGACAAGATAATGATTGACAATGATTTTCAATTTTTGATAATGATTTAAATTTTGAAGATCAAAATTGACTGGGAGGCAATTTAACAACAAAACTGAGTGAACGATTTTGAAGTCTATCATGGCTGCAAAGTGAGGACTGAACAGCTCCAGCCCAGAATACAGCATTATTTTTTGATTATTTTGATACACAATCAAATTATTCTGGAAAAATGTAGCTAGTTTTTTTTTTTTTTTAATGATTTCACCCCAAGCAAGGCAATGAAGACACTAAGACATAAGAGTGTTAGAGAATCTAAGAAAAAAAACACTAATAAGGAGAGAGAACAGTAAAAGAACAAGAATTAAGACAAGATAACAATTGACATTGCATTTAAATTTTGAAGATCAAAATTAACTGGAAAGCAGGAAACCAGAAAAGAGTTCAACAAGTGAGAAGTGCAATAGAAAAAACAGTTAGCATAGAACTTACAGTTACATCTAAAATATTAAAAGGGTTGGGTTGGTTTTTTGTATTTAATGACACCTCAACATCAGAATGTTATATCATGTCACAAAAAGATATTAAAGATGAAAAGAAAAAAGATGATGCATAGGTAAGAAACAATCATTTTAAACTCTTCTACATTATTGCAATGAACAAATAAAAAATATTTGCTGACCTGAGCTAAAGCATCTTTCATCAGTGACCAATTTGGGATTCGCCAAGCACTTTCTAACACCAGATGTGGGTTGGTATTGCCTTTGGTACTTGCAAATTCTTGAATGATATCCCATTGATTGAGTTCTTTGGCGCACCGGATCCAATGATCCTCCCAAAGACGATACTCTGGAATCACTGAAGGAGATGCCGGGGCTGTGTTGTGCTCAAGGCGGGCTTTACCCATAACCTGAAAGAAAAAGATCAATAAATAAATAAATTCATGTTCATTCTAAATTGATTTTAACTTATAGATCAATTGTGGCATCAATGTAAACAGGAGAAACACAGAAAAATGTTTAATGAAAAATTAGATGTTTTTTGAAAATAATATAAGAAATTACTAGTGAATAGTAAAATTTCTAAATTGTTTTTATAAACATGGTTTTTATCAACATATTAACAATTTCAACAACTGCTGTAAAATATCAAGATTTAAAAAAAAAAAAAAGAAAAAAAAAAATTGAAACATTGACAAAAATGATTTATTAAAAAGATTTCAATTTCTGTGTATTATTTTGTTACAGAAACTCAATAAAAATTCCATTCAGAGACAAATTCTTGCAAAATACAATGTGCACAAGAAATAGCTCCTACATAATCGTAAAACATTAGTTAGAGGAAAACATCGTTGCTGCTAACATCTTACCATTATGTGGGAAGTATTTTTAGGATGTATTTCTGTCACACCCCATAAATGACACATTCTTGATTGGAAAATAAAACTACAAAGTATATGAATACTGACACTTTCAAATGTAACCTGGGCTTGCTCAAAAAAGCCATGTTGCTCATATGCAATGGCAACAGCAGTTTCTGGATATTTACAGCGTTTCTGCCACAGTCCTGTCCACATGTCATCTTCATTAAGAAGAGAATAAAGGTCACACAAAGCATCTAATGTCTCCTGAAATGAGAAACATTAAAAACAATTACATCATATGTTAAAAAAAGTGATAATTTAACTGAAATTGAAAATAAATAGAATCTTTGATACATAACTCATTACAAAATGACCATTTGCATCCATCCATGGAGTTCATGTACCCTAACATGTTATTCTGGCAAGATAATGCACCCTGTCACTGGGACCATGTTGCCCAAAATTGGTTTGAAGAGCATTCTGGAGACTTCCAATGAATGGTGTCATTACCACATATGTTCAACATGACCCCAATTAAGAATTTGTGTGACATGATGGAGACGCCTATTTACAGACAAGATCCTGCATTTTTTTTAACAATGATGTTCACCCTGCACAAGGTCCAAAAGCCACTCAAGGTAGAGTGTTATTGAGTAAGAGGCACTGTCCCAAGGGCCACCAGAAGTGAAAAAAAAAAAAAAGACTTTAATCAGAAGAGGAAACCCAATCCTAAACAGGAAACAAGAGATAAGCCTCTATTCCTGTTCAAAAACTGGGGAGGTGTGTGAACTGGATGAGAGGTAAACCTACCTACTCCTAAGTAAATAAATAGTAAATAAAATTTCAGAGTTTTAAGTGTTGATATTAAAATTATAGAGGAAGACTCAAAATTCTGTAGAGAATATTTAGTTTTTCAGTTTACTGAAATCATTTCCCTTTCTCTTGGGCACTAGAATTGGCTTTCTAATCCAATTTAACAGTCATGGATATATCATGAATAATTCCCATTCTTGAAGAACAGTCAAGCTGGAAAGGAATCAAATAACACTTAATTCAGGTTACAGAGAACTAAATTAGAAAAAATGGGATCTTTGTTTCTTCCGAGTCAGTTTTCATGGTATCTATTTTTAAATTAAATTGTTCTTGACAGTCCCTCCCTTCTCATAGTGTCTAAAGACTCCTTTTCATCTTTGAAGAAGTGACTAAGTTGATATTCATTCTGTTGTTCACTTCTGATTTAATACACTATAACATGGTGACTGATGAGCCAGATTCACATTTCAGTCATTCATTGCAACAACTACTTTGCCAGATACTTCTGCTGGCTTCTTCAGATTAGGCAATCTTGCCAACAATACTTTGCCCGAGTTAGGATTCAACTCTGCTGGAAAATTGGGTAGCAGTCAGGTTAACAATGTGTTCAATTCTGACTGACAGTTCTTGTCCCCTTGCACTGGAGGAGCTGACAAGAGGTCACAATCTTCCCTTCTATTTCATGCCTTATTGAAAAGAGAACGTCCTAGAGAGACTCAACTAATGAACATACCTACTAAAATAAATAAATGAATCCTAGATGCTACAATACAAGAGGGGGTATTTTAAAGTTTTACATACACTACAAACAAATATGGGGGATTTGAAAAAATAAAGAAATAATTTTAAAACTTACCTGATGAGGATTTGTGACAGGTTCAAATTCAAATTCACTACCTGGCCTATTTTTCACAACAGTTGTTGGTCCATTCTCAAAAGCCATTTGCTCTAACATCAGGCATGCACGATGCCATAAATTGTGACTGCGACCCAAATACTAAAAAATAAACATTTTTAAAATGCTTAAAATTTAAAAAGAGTATTTTGTGTATATGCATGTATATATATATATATATATATATATATATATATATATATATATATATAGCATTTTGTTAAAATCAACCAACAAGGTCAATGTGTTTAATTTTTTTATTGTATTTTTCCAATTTTCAAATAAGATGTATATTCAAATGAAAATTGTATATAAACTGTTCAAAGTTCAGGATTTGTGCTCTGATTTTGTTTAAGTACTATTGCCCATCTCTGTCATTATCAAGAACTAGTTGTTGTCAATATTGTAAACTAGTTTTCATTGGCTGTATCTTGGTATTTTTTGAAATGATAGAATTCACTTAATTCAAATATACATGTATCATTAGTGATATCATGTGTAAAATGGTTTCAGAGAGGTCAACTGCACCAAAAAAAAAAAACTCATTTATATGCATATTAAATATCTTATGAACATTTTGAAATATCATCTGTGACAGAAGACAGTCTCTTGTCTATTGAATTTAACAAGACTTGTAAAAATAAACCTTTATATATATATATATATATATATATATATATATATATATATATATATATATATATATACACACAGTGTAACAGCAAAATTGACCAATTGTTAGATTAAGCTTTGAACCACTGTATCAGAAATGATTATAGATATCTTACTAGAATTCTCTGAAATTTTTATAACATTATTGGACTCTACTTTGAACAATAAGAGTGTATTTAGCTCTAAGTTGAAATGATGATCCCTCTTGTTGTTGTGACCTCCTGATCCAGTTTTCTTATCTACTGTTCCCTCTTTTTTAAACTTATTGACTGTTCTCTTGATGGTTCTTGAATGGACTTTGAAGATGGAAGCCAGAGTATGAATGTTGGTACCATTACTGAAGGCCTGAAAGATCTTTTTCATCTCACCATTGCTCAGCTGAGAAGACATAGTGGGGCTGACACAAAATGATTTTAACCTGTTCTCTTTCTAGCTAAATAACTCAAAGGGTTTTTCAATGATTCTTACAACAAATGTTATGAAGATGGCTAAACATCTTATCTGAAAATATGGGAAAAAGAAACTCAGTTTAGTGGGTTTTTTTTTTTAAGTATTAAACATTTTGTGGGATGGACAATTATTCCATGCTGTTACACGATTTGGACAATTTTGCTGTTACACCCAGTATAGAAAAGCAACAAAAACTGTCACAAATAAGGCGTACATGATTTTACTGCACAAAATTTGCATTGCTTTTCTGCCATTGTCAGGGGCTTCTCTCATAATAAGAGACAGATGTTGATCATTGAGAAATTAGATTAATTCAGCAAATGCTTTTGCATTCTTTTCACAGTACTCTTCATCATTGGGATGATCAGATGGTGCCAAGATTGCTTTGTATAACTTTTGGATTCACATGTATCCTAAAAATATTACCTCCCATAATTCATATTTTGATTTGTCACCATTGAAACAAAGTTTATTCTTGGACTGATATCCTGTAGAGTAAGTGACAGAACTGCCCAAAAAACAGAATCGACAAAGTTTGCAATAAACAACAAGACAAAGAAAAAAACAAGGCAAAAAATAATATAAAGCAAGAAAACAAATATATGCAAAGCAAATTAACAGTAATAAGGCAAAACAACAGTAATATGGCAAAATGTTCACAAACTAAGAATAGGAGTTGATATACAAAAACGAATTTGGATAAGCGAACGTAGCATTCTAACTTTAAAAGAAATGAGGACCGAGTCATGAAACTGTCCTGTTTTATTGGCTAAGAAGAAACCCCAGCATGCATATTTGTGCTTCTGCCTATAAATTGGGGAGAGAAAAGTGTTTTGCAGTCATTCCCACTACAATTGGAACCAATATTTACATTCTAACATTTTAATGTAACCCAGTTTATAGAAGCTCCAAGGAGCAACCAATGATTCATTTTTATTAATGTCAGTCATAGGAGGAGAAATAGCAGAAAAATTTATAAATTCATAAGCTTAGAAAGTTGGTAGCAGAAGATATTGAATCTATTAATGTCCAAAGAAGAGCTATTAAAATCCCCTTCTCCAAGTGGAAGCAAAAAGTCTAAAGAATAAGTCAGTTCTATATAATGTTACATAGGACACCAATGAAACCTTGAATTATTACATTGGGTTTCCAAGAGAGATACCTAGAGAATACATTTACACATGGCCTGGATAACTACAGTATCTCAGAATCAAAATTATTACAATGCTTGTTGCTGGATTATTCCATTTCAATTGGAGAAAAATTTTGTCTTACTGAGAAACCTACATTAATTTATCCAATATTGAAATCTAATTTAAATTTTCCAAGTAGAAACAAAAGAAAAAAAAGGTGAGAAGCTTTGGTCACCAACTTTTTAAATCATTTCAACTAAGTAAACAAAGAAATGAATGATAAAGTTACAAAGATTTCAAAAAAAATAAAAAGGCTATCAGTTTAAATCCATCATACATTTTGCAACCATACAAAAACTGCAATAGACATGAAATATTAAATAAACTAAAAAAATTATTATATAGGTTATTATTTTATTACAAAATAGTTTACATCTCTTACCCTGAGAACCACTGGTCGAATCGGAATTGGAGGTACACAAAGTGAAATAGACTCCAGAAAAGTGTGCATGGCACTAGGTTGGCAGTCTTTCTGAACAGTATGGCTACCACTGGCTGTAAAAGGTGCCAGTTCACCAGCCAAAACCTAAGGATAAAAGATCATGTAAAGTCAAATTAAGGAGTTGAAAAATTCAAAGTATCAGATTGAGAGAGAAAAAAAAAAAATGAATAAGTAATGATGCTACTATGGGATTTTACACCATTGCAACTGATGGTTCTTAAAGATAACGGCTTTATAAAAAAAGAAGGTTTCCCTACTTACCAATCCAAGTCTAACATTGCAATAAATATTACTGTGCCGGCTTATGTTCTGGAGACCCTCTTATTTTAGCTGTGATTATTTTTTTTTTTAGTTAGGAGATCTTCAGTATTATGCAAAGTGAAGGTAAGATTTGAACAAGATTACTGTCTTGTCACCCGTTAATTATAACTTTTATCTTCCTTAGTGGCTTTTGTCCTTTAGGGAACATTCCAATGATCCAAGTTTTCCCACCGCCGGTGTCTTTTCAGAAAGAGAACTCACCATACATGACACCTTTCTTCAGTTCTAATTTTTAAACACTTTTTATCTTGAGCATCTTTGGTAAGAATTATTTATTTCCTCCTCTACAAGCAGAGAAATTATTTATTCAGTGAAATTGACATTTCCCAGTATTTTCATTTCTATACAATTTATTTTACTCAAGTACATATTTTTTCCTAACACATGGACATTTAAATTTGCCCCACTCATTTATTTTCAATGTACTCCCTACCATTCCCTTCTTGATGTTATTTCTACTCTTGAATTATCCTTTTTTTCCTAAGAATTGTCTGATGCTCTGTGTTTTTATCTAGCCTCCAGATTTTTGTTATACTTAGACCCATCCCCGCTTGTATTGCTTTCTATTTTCTGTTCATATTGTTTGTGAAACTGTATTTTTATTCCTTTTCAGTTTTATCTTTTTTGGTGAATAAAATACCTGTGGATGAAACTCAACATTGCTTCAGAGTCTTATTTGCCTAAAAGTGTTTATCTGAGCATCTAAGACATGCACACATTTAACAAAAACAGATACATATTCAGACACTTATAATTACAGTCTCTGAATTTGATTCAGTTTCAGTCACAATCTCTTGAATTTGTAGTCAAGAATGTATATAACTCAACAAAAAAAAATTTTTTCTAATAAAACCAGTTGCTTCCTTAGAACAGTCTCTGATGAAATGTCAATGCAAGGACAATAGAGTTTCATATCACCTTCCTCTCAAAGAGACATGAAGTCACTGGATGAATTTCAGACAAATTTGGAATAGTGTGTCTGTGAAAACTAACAAAATATGATTGAACAGTGAAAGAGGAAAAGGACAAATTCAATTAAGCCACCCCTTGAATTGAATCATTTCATCCCTTCTAGTCTTGTTGTGGAATAGTTAACCAACCAGATATAACTGACAGAGAATTTGCACCATAGTTGATCTGCAAGAATTTTACCAACAGTAAAACATGCACATCAACTTTAGTCAGACGTTGTAATCTTTGATTTTCGCCTGCCAAGTTCTGCATTTTCAGATTAAATTATAAATATCTTCAGAATAAATGTTAGTCCTCAATTTCTGTTGATTTTTAATTTACAAATTCCAGTTATAACTAAAACTACTAAACAATTGAGTTCTACTATCACCCTGGACATTATTAGTCATCACAGACTAAAACTGTGTGTGTGGAGGCAGGAGCATCCAAAAATATCAGAAATACAAGATCTTATCTTGAACTGGCAAAGGCTCCTAAAATTTGCATATCAATGACTAGTCCTCATGAATACATTTTGTTAATTACTCTGCATTGTTATTACATTTCAACACTTTTATCAAGGAACAAAACTAAGAAATAAAAAAAGATATTGAAAATTTCTTTTGTTGGGCCAAGAACCTTTTCAAAATTCTCTTGTGTGTATGTACAGAGGGCAGTTAATTTCTGAGTACACATATCTATTAGGGTGGCTCACTAATCTCTATTTGCTGATGGCCACTCAGGTACATCAGAGTTTCTTCAAGATCTGGGGTTTATACTGCAACTAAGCTGAGCAGACTCAGAGAGAACATAATCTGGCATGATCAACGGTTCAAGAAGACCAGTACACTAGACAACATGTAATTTCATGCTAGCACAACCATTGACAACATCTAAACAGTTTTGTCTACTAAATTTCACAAACAAGGCTTGGGTCAACTCATGTTGTGACTTTCAGACACTTTCCAACAGGGCTGTATGCTGGTATCATGTCAAGTTGATGATGAGATTCAAAACCTGATCTCATGGTTGGAATGCTAATGTTCTAACCACTTGCTAGTGTGGACACTGTCACCTTGCAGTGTTTCCTGACTAATTCAACACATAATGAATTTTCAGACAATACAGATGTTTATAATGTAATTAAAAAAAAAATTTTTAAATTCCATTAAAAATAGTAAAACTCAGACATCAGTTTACTTAATTCAACAAGTCATTATCATATTTCATAATAAAATATACAAAGAAACCTTTTCTTTCTTGTCATATTTCAGCCTATTTAGCCAGACATCACATTTGACAATTTACTTAACATTTTTATTTAACACAAATTACTTTTATCATTTGGACAAATTAATCCATTATAAAACATTTGCAAATATAGCAGCATTAGAAATACTTAAAAATTTAATTCAAACTTACCTGCTGCTGTTTTTCTGACAAAGTTTTCCAAATGCGTGGGAAAAGATGCAACCAAATTGTGTGAGCCAATTCTGTGCTATTATGACATAGTTGTGACAAGGCATTCAAAAATACAGTCGTCTTGAAAGAAAAAAAATAGAATTCATCATTGAAAACATTGATATAAGCTATCAAATAAAAGTTTTCTTTTTAACATTTTAATCATTTGCATTTATAGTTGAAATGAAAACAATATTAAAATTATTTTTGCACTAATAGCTAAATGTTATCTTGCTATGAAAAATGAATTCAGTATAATACTCAAAAATTTGATGGGTTGGGTGCAAAAAGTGTGTGCCAAAAAGGGGCACTGGTTGAAAAATGGTTGAGAAACACTGGTCTACATTGAGAAGATTTGTAGGGGAATGGCAAGAAATAGAACAAATGTTGACTATAATTATACACTGTGAGAAATGCAGAAGATGCAAAGACACTCCAATGTATCTAGATGCCAGTGTGTACTACCCTCGAACCCCTAACTGGGAGGAACCTGATTCTATCAACATTTACTTTTTTTTCTACCTACATTTATATACATTACAAAATAAACTAAGCACAACTATTAAACAATTTTTTTGATTTTGCCTCCATTCTAGAGTCTTTTATCTATGAATTTGCTTTATTCATGTTAAGTTTAAGAAAAAAAAAATACATAAAATTAATTTTTTATCCATAATGTGATAAAATTCAATTTTTTTAACAAGAAAATTCTCAAGTTGAGGTTAAAAATTGCAACAGAACATTGATTTATTCAAGATGGAATGATCTATTATGACAGGTCTCTAATTTGTATTTAGATATGTTGAATTTATTTTCAATACAACCTTGAGATGTAGTAGAGTGGGATACTCCATATCATAGATGTATTTTGGGAGGTGGGGCACAAGACACTTGCACCAGCCCTATCTACAAGAATAACCCAGACAACTTCATTCAGGTTCCTACTGCGTTTGTTTTTAATTGCTGTTTTTAATTATGCTATATTGTATTAGCAAAGTGATATGCTGTATGATCCTTAATGTAAATTTACCGAGAAACTCAAATTATTGCACTTTCTATATATTTTCACCTTAATAAATTACTCTTCCTCAATTAAAACTGCATTAAGTTGAAATTATGGTCTGACTTATTACAATGAACTACTAATGCATTGATTGCATTGTTTCATAAAATATCTCTTTTGTGTTCATATACTCTTATTTAAATTCCTAGATGTTTCACCTATGAATTTTTGTCATTCAGTTACTCACCATTCATCTAATATAGAGAGTTCATATGTTTTCTCATAGAAGAGATCTGCAGATTGAAATGGATGAATTTATCTATATCTCCCTCTCTGCCCCATCTTCTGTCAATTTTTTGTAGTGACATGACACTTTACACATGGATTTTGTTTTGGTAGGGTTCAATTACACATTGATATTAAAAAAGCGCATCAATGTGTTACTTTTTTTTTCTCTAAACAAAGTGTAGTTAGTCTGAATTTAGAAGCATAATCTTGTTTTCTGGTCCTTGTATTCCAGCCTCAAACTGGACCAAGCATCAAAATGAAACAATAAGATACTATAATACTGTCTGCAGCAGAAATACCTCCCCCCATATAATAGTAAAACATTAGTGGCAATGGTGCCTTCATCTTACTATTATGTGGGCAGTATATGCAGGAGATATTTCGGCTGCACCATGTATAAAAGGCTGAATATAAAAATTAATAGATATTCAGTATTCAATTTAAGATCTGACAAATAACTAATTTTTCAACCTCCATGGTCAACCTCAGAAATAAACAATTCATAAATTTGACTTAACAGTCCCAAAGTATCTGAGTAGGATAATGGTAATTCAGACATGTCAAAGAAAACAAAAAGAAAAAAACACAGCATTCTTTCAGAGAAAAGGGGGAAAATTCTTTACTTAAAAAAAAAATCATATGCTTAGTTTGCTAAGATCTATGTTAAGAAATTTTCTGTCACATAACTTTTATTGTTATGGTTGTTTTCCTTTATTATTAACTAGCAGTAGAGCCCGGCATTGCCCGGGGATGTAACAGTAAGAGATAGATCAAGTATCGACCATCATAAAGACTGAAAAATAAAATTGACAAAGATTATTGTTTAAGGTTGACGGACACACGTGCCTTAATTAGTTTTTTTTTTTTGTTTTTTTTATGAATTGGTCAAACCTAAACTCAAATAAAAACATTGAATAGAATTTTATTATAAACAATTGTCTTGTAAATGGAATTTTTAAAACATTCTGAATGTAAAAATAAAGACAATAAGAAACACTACCTGCCAAAAAAAATGTGAAGTTTTGTTGAAATCGGTTGAAAATTGTAGGAAATCCGATCCTATATATAAATGAACACACACACACACAAACAACCTGGGTTTTATAACTCGATATGAGTTGTCCCCCTTTCATTCTGGCGACAGTGATGCCTCTTAATCGTGTTTTCAAATTGATTTTGTACAAAAACAATTGTGTTTTTTCAATTTTTGGCACTGTCAGAACCACTGCAAGGTAATTTTACGCAGTCCTGTGAAGTTTTGTTTAAATTGGTTGAAAAATGTAGGAAATCCGATCCAATATATAAACGTACAGACACACACACACAATCTGCGTTTTATAATAAGATTATTGCTGATAATCTCTCATAGTGAATAAATTATAAAATAAAGGGAACTTTGAACTGAACTCTTTATTTAATCTATGAGGCACAGTGTTTTTGTTCCACTGCGCATTTCTAGGGATATCTCGTTTAGTTCTTATTTAGTACTATTCAGTTATTGCTCACCACTTTCTGCTGAGTGCAAGTACACACTGCTAGACATAGGGATTGAACTCACAATCACTGTCACCAAATTCACAAACCAATGCTATTTTACACTACAATAATTTGCTGTAGTGAACTTTGAGCTGTAAACCTAACCTGCCTGCTGATTAGGTTGCAAGTGCTGTTGCTTGTCATGTTTTGACTGCTGCAGTTGAAGACTTGCTGTTATATGTCTCTCTTTATTAGCAACTACCATATTTATTTCTATGCTAGGCCTACTAAAATACTGGACAAGGAATAACACTGAAGAATCAGCACATAGACTAGGCTATACAAACCTCCTTAGAAAGCTAGCATAGAAATAAATACAATATGTGAGCCATTAATAAGGGGAGACAGACAAATGGCAGCAAGTCAAAACCTGACAGACAGCAGCAGTAGTTGCAACCTCATCAGCTTTAAAACTCCAAGTTCACTACAGCAAATTAACCTAATGAATAAAAGCATTGGTTTGTGAATTTGGTGATGGTGATTGTGAGTTTAATTTGGCAGTGCATACTTGCACTAAGTAGAAATGGATGCACTGTGAACAGTATTAAATAAAAACTAGACATGAGCAGTGGAACAAGAACAGTCTACTCTATAGGATTCAGTTCAGAATTCCCTTCCGGTTACCCTGATTTATGTACACCAGAGAAAGGCTAAAACATTGTGATAACAACAAAGATGAGAACAAGAGTTTGAATATAGTGTAAATTATAGACTAAATTTTACATACTTATATATGCCTATCTAAGGGAGAAAAAAAATACTATATACAGTAATGCCTTGAGATATGAGTTTAATTCATTCCAAGACCAAGCTTGGAACTCAAAAGACCTGTATCTCAAATCAATTTTCCCCAATGAAATTAATGGGAATATTTCCAATCTATTCCAGACCCCTAAAAATCACCCTTATTTTCCTAAAACTACCCCTATTATTGTATTTGTGGGATTCTTACAAGCAAAAACAAGCTTAACTGAAAGTCACTCATATATCAAAATTCAGCTTGTATCTCAAGGCAAAAAAATCAGCTGAACTCTGACTCATATCTCAAAAAAACTTGTATGTTGGTATGCTCATATCTCAAGACATTACTGTATAAGGTTTTGTACTACCCATAGCATTAGGTCTGTAAATATACAAGTCCCAATGCAAAGATTCTAATAATTCTTATTTTGACTAATAAATTCTCTTCTAAGCTGAAATCAGTTAGTCACATACCATACATGATAGACAGTTATGTGATCATGTTTCTTTCGATTAATGACTGACTAGGCAAAAGATTTTCTTGCAGTAGGTTACCATTTCTTTCTGCAATAGACTGGTTACAAACCAAGGTTAGTGAACCCAGTCTGCTCTGCTATTCAACCCATAGCTGGGGGAGTAGAGGCAGATTCATACCTTTCCCAAGGGCATTTGCACATAAGTGATTGTAATGAACCTGACTGAAATTCGAACTCGGCTCTCCAATTTCTCATTCAAACTCGTTATCCACTACACCACACTGCATACCAGAGATACACTGCTTTAATGTTGATGGTTAAAAACCTGTAATTATAGTTGCACCAACTTAATTAGTTGGTTAGATTTATTTACCTTCACTTCACGCAAATTTTCTAAAAATAATGATTGTTTCCAGACGAGGCCAGGTAAGCTTTGCTTCATTTCTTGACTTTCTCTTTTATGAGAATCTTTTGGTGTAGTGTCTTCATTTGGAACAGAGTTGAGGGCAATGTCAATTTCTTCCTGAAATTCAGAAATATAACCAAATATGTATAAACAATATAACTACTAAAAATTTGAATAGACTTAGTTAACTAAACACATAATTAAAAGCAAGATTAAACAGACTATTTCATTTTATTCACAAGGATTTACATAGTGAACATTTAAATAAGCTAAAATAAAATTCTGTGACTTCTGTTAGTCTGTCCATCATCACACCCTCTAAAATAGCCAGACATTGACTGATCAAAACTAAAGTTTGGGAAGAAGTGCAAACAAGTAAAAGGGTACAAAGTACAGTTTTAATAAGTTGCATATAGCTTTGTACAATAAATTTTCATTCATTCATTCTTTTTTTTTTTTTTAGAAAAATTAAGCTTTATTATTTAATATACAAAATACTCCCATTATTTTAAAAACAATTTAAACAACAATACTAAATACTGTGAGGATTTCAATACACATCAGTGTGTTGCAAAAAAAATTGTGGTAACGTAAAATTCTCTCTAATTTTAACAAATTTATTTTTCATCATAAAACTTAAGGGTTTTTCTCAAAGGAATAGTGACTTTCTCATTTATTACAAATAGAAGTAGCCATGAAAGTTTCAGTTTTTCTATTTGAATTTTTTTGATAATTTTTTTTTTAAATCCCAAGCAAGGCAATAATGCCACTAAGATGCAAGATGCTACTGGAAGTGAAAGAGAATGAAAACATTTTAGAAGGAACTGGAAGCCCAATCCTGAACAGGAAACAAAGGATAAACCTGTTCAAAAGACCAGGTTAGGAACGTGAACCAAACAATAGACAAACTTATCTACTCCTATTGAAGAATAAATAAATAGTAAATTTTAGAGTTTAGGTAGATACATTAAAAGTATAGAATTGAAGTAGACTGTAGAAGAAACTAGAAACCCAATCCTAAACAGGAAACAAGGGATAAATCTCTATTCCTGTTCAAAAGACTAGGGAAGAGAATGAATCAGACAATAGGCACATCTATGCACTCTTAAGTTAATGATTGAATAAGTTCATGGCAGATCCTGCAACAATAAAATATCCATAGAAATTCCCCTATCACATCATTAAAGATTTGAGCTTAACAACTTTAACAAAATATTCCAATGACAATCATACATATGAATGCTGGTCATTATTTTAAGAAGTAAGGGGGTTACAAATGAAAAAAATTGAAATTGATAACTTTTCCATTTCAATGAAACAGACGATAAACACTTGTATCTTCCCTTTTTTCATTTTCTCACTGAAACCAAGTAGCATTTCTGATAAGTTTTTCAATCTTTCCACTTGATCTAAATGGAATAGTCCATTATCTATGAGGTATTGGCAGAGTGTAATAATCATGCTAACTAAAGGAAGGACAAGCAGAATTATAAAATGATGATTAATGCCAAGAGATGTTATTTTTCACAATGATTAATATGGCAGTTAAAAAAAATGTGTTGACAATATTTTTTTAACCATTAGCTGCTAGTACAATAATTGAAAATATAAAGACTTCCAAAAGTAAAACACAAACTGTCATAACTTTGACATAAACCCCAACACCTTTGATGTCCCAAAGGTTGGGCATAAACTTTGCTTTCAGTTTTAGTCTCAGTAAATTTAATAAACTTTTTAATATTAAACATTAAAAATTTATTTAAAGCTTGACAAATTTATTAACTATAATTTTTAGCAAAATGGTCTAATGGCCTCAAATCAAGATGTTGCATTGCATTGTACTATTTAAAGGGTTTGTTGTTGGTATGGTTTGTCAAGTGGACACTGCCCCAGATACAGCAACATAGGCCTTTTATTTCATTCAAAAAAAAAAACAAAAAAAAAAAAAAAAAAAACCCTTTTTGGTTTAAACACCCTTAACCAGACTCAATAGCTCTTATTTCCTCCACTCCATTTTGCCTTTTCTCAATTCATACCCTTTCATTTTGATAGGAGTACATCACACCATCTGATGCTAATCAGAATTCTGATCAAATTTTATTAAATTCCTGTCCCAAATAATCATTCTTATCAACAGTTTGTTTCAAAATGGCTGATCTTAAATTTCTACCTAACAATTTATTTCAAATTCCATCATGGCATTTTAATAAGTCAAAAAAATTATACTTCTTTGTTATCCAAAATGAGATTACTGGGCTAAATATCCAAAACACAAAGTAAGTTTTAAAATCAAAATACAGAAAATACAACAAAATTCACTATTTAAAAACATTTATAGTGTATTTCATCCTTTAGGCTTTGAAATGATTTAAAGTTCTTTTTTTTTTTTGTTTTTTTTTAACTCTACTTTGGCCAATTCCATTGTCAAGGTGAAAATCAAAAATGACATGTCACCAAAACAGATGAAAGTTATATAACAATTTATATTTTAATGTCAAAAAAGAACATGACATTGAGAGGCTTTGAAAAGAGAAATGAACAAAGTTAACTTTTACCTCATCCTTGTTTCCATCAACAGATTCTACATCCATGGTTTCTTCTTTCATCTTGAGGATGGTAGAGAAAGCTGCTCTTTCCTGACTGTCAGCCATATTAATTACGGAGCAAACAGATGGAAGGAGGTTCATCTGAGATGAGCTCTGAATGTTCTGGTTCACTACTGCCACTGAAAGTAATAACTGTAAGAGAAAAAGAATTAGAAACCATATTTGGGACGGTGTCAATTTTATCAAAATGATACATTCAGTAAAACTGAATTATCACTTTCTGATAATGTTGATCGATTCATTCATTTGTTCATTTTCTAAGGCTTATTTAAAAGGAGTTATGAAATAAACTATCACAATCAGGAGGATTCACATTCCAAAGCAGATTTGAAAAATACCACCATCTACTCTTGACAGTGTTTATAGACTGGCACAACAGAATCACAAATAAGAAAAAAAAACATCTGTCCATATTTCTGAGATGAGGCATTGTATCTATTTACATTATTCACATTGTTCAGACTGTTGTCCTCATCTTTATTGTCACATTCATGATGTTTCAGCCTTCTTCAGAAAGAAAAAACACACATCCCTTGAAAAAAAAAAAAAAAAAAAATGGGTAGATCATGTAACTAGAATGGAAAATAACATAATCACACTGCATTAAACAAAAGGTTAGGAAGAAAACTCCCATTAATTCTAGAAAGAGTGATAACTGACTTGAAAACTCTAATTTCCTAAAAAACACTTTTGAGAAAAATTTTTTATAAATTTCAACTGATAGTAACACTAACAATCTCACCATTATCATTTAGTCTTCTTGATTCTTTGTTATCCATTTCCAAAATAAATCTGACCAAAAAATTTTTAAACTGACACAACTTGAAAATATGACATCTTTTATTCAACTGTGAGAGAGTAGAGAAAATGCTCTTGATAAACTTAACGAAATTTCTTTCAAATTATAAAATTTCAGTTTGTCAATTTTTATCATTATCTTTTTTAATTCTTTGTTAAACAGGAAATTAATGATTCAGCAATGGTTGATTTCAAGATAGTCATCTCTTTCCACCAAGCTTTTTTGTTCTTCACAAATCCATTATAATACATTTATCCATTAAAATGATTTTCTAATGAGCAAAAAATCCAACTTTACAAAACTGAAAAAGAAACATTCTCTTAATTTAGCACCATTTTGAAAATTGCTTTTTAAACAATTTTATTCATCTAAAACCTGTACATTGTTTTAGGAATTTTTGTAAGAATAACAATTTTGAATGATGGGAAACAAAACCTCTCATTTCTCACTTTTCGATTGATCCCAAGTATGGTAGTGAAGAAATTTTATTGTTCATCAGGTATGGTTGAAAACAAGTTTTATTGTTTGCCAAAAACGATTATCACTTTCTGATAATGTTGATCGATTCATTCATTTGTTCATTTTCTAAGGCTTATCAGCCATTTGTAGGTTGTTTAAAACCAGAAAATATCTTTAGATTGGAAAAAAAATTTTTTGTTGGAGATAATAATGGTTTTAGTGATACAAGTCTTACTAATTAACTCATAGCTTAAGAGAGAAGAGGTGGATTCATAACTGCATATGCACATAAGTGAATATAACAAATACAATAGGAATTGGAACTCAGCTCTCTAATTAACAATTCTGAGCTATTATCCATTGCACTACCTTCACATCCAAGCTTACAGCACCTGGTATTCCCAAGTAATCACCCATCTAGTTACAGATCAGCCTCAACGTTATTTAACCAGTGTTCCTACAGAAACCAGTGTTCAATGTGATATGGCTGTAAGCCTTCTGTTAATGTGCAATTCCAAAAGACAAAGCCATCTCAAAATAAAATAGAAAAAATTAAAACTTATATTAAAAAATTAAAACCGATATAACAATTATATCAAAAGACTTTTTTTTCATTTTCTAATTACAATTTCACATAGTTTACTTAGCTATTTAAATTTGTCTTTCCTTTGATTTTATTTGACTGCAAACTAATATAATTGTCCCATGTAATTATCAATTAAACAAAATCTTACCTCAATACATTGTTTAATCCAATAGTGACTTTGCATGTGTTCCCAATTTTGTGAACAGCTAATATACAGTAGTCTGTCAAAAAGACGTTTACGCATGCTTTTATCAAACACCTGTAAGATATAAAAAGTAAAAAGCAAGAATTTAAGTTAAACAATACACAACAAATACAGTCAGTTTTAATATTTCCCCAGAAATGCTTTTTTTTTAAATAGAAATTGATGAATATTCTTTCATTTCATATTGTAAAGAAAAAAATTGATTAATCAATGAATATTAATTACAAATACAGCATTATTTATCCCAAAGAAAAAACAGTTTTCTTTTTAATATACTGAGAGGGAATTATATTAAGAGTGCAAGAAAAGAAACTTTCCATTCATTACCTTTAGAAAAGAATTTTATATAAACACAGTGAAGTTTACTTTCTCAAGTTAAAGTTAAATTATTATAAAATTACTAATTATTTTGTCCCAATATTCTGCTGTAATAAAAATATATTAAATCAATTGTTGTACAATTTATTGCATTTTATTTTAAATGTAATTACATATCTATAAAGAACAGAACAGATTATTAGGCATTGTAAATATTTTGGTTTTAATTTCTAAGTGCTGTAAAAGAAAGAACAGATTACACATCAAAAGCTGATTTCAAAAAACATGACAATCATATTGTTAGCACATTATGAAAAAGTTTCTCACTTTAAAATTAATACTTGTACTCCCATTTGTATACATGAATCAAGTCAAGTGTATGTGTTGGGGGGATACAAGATTTAAATTCAATAATTCTAATCATCATTCATATATCAATGGCTTCATTTCCAGAAGAGTAAAATTATAATTTTTACCAGAATTTTTAAATGGATGATGATGATGATATTCAAATGAAGATGTTTGGTTATTATACTCACTCATGGAATTTCAAATCATATCCTTTATTTGGAGACATGATGGAGTAATGGATAGCAGCTTGGATTGAGGAACCGGAGAGCAGAGTTCGAATTCCAGTCGAATCCAGTTACATTCACTTATGTACTAATACCCTTGGGAAAGGTATGAATCCTCTTCTTCTACCAACCTCCCCAACAAGCTAAATAGCAAGACAGACCAGGTTCTAAAGCCTTGGATGGCAACTGGTCTACCGCAGAAAGAAATGGCAAACTACTGCAGGAAAAAATCTGCCTTGTTAGTAATGTATCGAAAGATACATGATCATGATTACCTAAGCATGTATCATGGCACATAATTGACCCTTTGTTCTGCCTACGGGAGTACACTGTTCTTAGTTTGCTTTCCATGATAGAGTCTATTTCAGATCAGTTAATACTCACCAGTCATGATCATCTTTGTCAATTTCATTAAATCAGAGCAATGTGACTTTTCAGTTCTACTAGACCTATGGACCTACAGATTGAACTCACAATTGCTGGAGAACCAGATATATGGGTCATCTATTCTTGAAATTCTGGAGCCTGTTCTCAAGTGATAACAACCTTTTAGAGATATATCTCTTGAACTAAGCACTCTCACCCAACCTCATCCCAGAGGAAAACTGGAACTAGAACCATGTATATTCCATCTCCATGCAGTTTTGATAAGGAATAAAGAGATTAGCCACTTGCTAAATGTAAGGGTGGAAAAACATTGAAAAGCTGTTTTCCAGGGGAAGATTCTTGAAATCAGCTATGATTGATCATACAAGGTCTGTTTGAAAAGTAACAGGACCGGTGTCACAAACAATTTATTTAAATTCCAAACAACAAACTACATGGTTGTCCCCTTCCAAATAATCCCCCTAGAGTCTAATGCACTTTTCCATCCTTCTCTGCCATTCAAAATGGGTCACCCTTGATGATTCCCTTGAGCTTGGGGAAAGAAAAGTCACATAGAGGAAGATCAGGTGAATAGAGAGATTGTTCCAGTACATACAATGTTCTTCTCAACCAGAAACTGAAGGATTCTCAGGGCATTCTGAGCAGGTGCATTGTCATGGTGAAGCAGACACGATTTGTCCTGACAAATCTTGTTTTTCTTCATGCACTGAGTGAAGCAAATATTACAGGATATCTTTGTAGATTTGCTGATTGATTGTCTGGCTCTGTGGTGAGAACTCACTGTGGATGATGCCTCTCACATTAAAAAAAACATGATCAATCCCATTATTTTATAGACAGACCTCATATATCAAAAAAGATTGTCACCCTTTGTGGAATGAAATCATGATGAGAGAGAACAACACTGGAGTATATGTGTCAACTGAAAAAAACAGCACATATGTTAGGCACTGACAACCTCCACAGCAGATCTAGCATAAAAATTAATATCATCTTGCTGTCTCTGATTTAGAAAAGGTCTTGATGAAAAATTCTCAAAGTTTTCTTTTCCCATAATTACATTGGCTATAATACAGAGGAGATGCATACAGAAATATATAAACAAAAATGTACAAGTAGAAGCTTCAATATAACTATTTCGATTTTTTACAAAATTACTTTTGAAAACTTACCTCTACAAATTTCTGTCTGATGTGATGTTGGTTGCATCTTAAGCCAGCAAGGAAGGCTGGCTCCAGTTTGCATGTTAATTCACTTCCTGCTAAGCTTTCATCTCTTCAAAGAAATTAAAAACAAAACTTTTTAATATGATGTTAGTGTGACTGACACATTCACTTTAAACGTTTTTAAGTTTTATATATCTTATATTGATTTGTAAAATTCTTTCTACAGGATATGTTAATCTCCTTGCCTAAATATTAAAGACCTAGCTGTTTGAATAGATTCAGAAAAATATTTGGTTCCACCATTTGACAATGTGCAAATCTGCAATTTCTGAGTTGCTTAGATTCATTTTTACTAAAATTTAAAGTTTCTGGGACAAATTTTATTTATTTTTAAAGAAAAATTGTTTAAGAGGCTTTGTATCATTAATTCATATCAATGATCTGGTGATACTAATCCACAGAATTTTATCCAAAATGCAACTTTAAAAAAAAAAAGTTTATTAGTTAAAGAATTATGTGTTCTCTCTACAAAATTCTGATTTCTTCCTCTACATCAGGGGTTCTCAACCACCCCTCGGAGGATTTCAGGGGGAAGAGGGAAAAATTTTTTACTTTTTCTATTTTTTTTTTTTATTTATAGAATGTTGAGCCCATCACAAGTATCAAACAAAAAAAAACAATAAAAAAAATAATCTATGTAAATATATATATGCAAACATGAGGGAAAAAAAATTAAGATTTTCAATAATGTATACATATTATTTGGAATGCACCTTTTGAGTTGGGCAATCTTGGAAAGTGGGGTGTATGACATGCTGGCATATGGTGAAAAGAGGCAAAAACGGTTGAGAACCACTGCTCTACAATATTCTATTAAGAATTAGTGCACTGTCCAAATTTTTATCCAAAAATTTTTATCTCAAAAATTTTAATCCCAAAACAGATTGGAATGTAATTTTTTATATTGATAATACTGTGTGCATATGTGTAAATTTCTTGAGACAAAGTAAAAACATCATATTCATCATCATTTAGGTTCAGGGAGACAACAAAATGTGCTGGACACTGCTTTTCTTTCTTCTTTTTTTTTTTTAAATTCTTTTTTTATTGGATTTGCACAAAATGAGTAGAATAAATTATAAAAACCTGTAAATGTAGTTGACGAGTTCAAGGAACTGGGCATTCAATTCTGCATCGTCGGGGAACCTCCTCTCTACATGATGCATCAGTTTACACAGAAGTATAGCCTTTTCACGAATGGACGGTGATTGGTTGATGGCAATTGGATTCTGAATAGATAAAAAGAAAAAAAATTATTTCCTTTACTGAGAGAGGCTGATGCTTTTCTTACAACACACCCTATGCTCCTCCACCTACAAAATAAAAAATAAACATATACTGTAAGAATTTAACCTTCAGAGTTTTACAAATTTCTAGGTCTGCAACTTGCAAAACAGATTACCAAGCAATTTGTGATTATACAGAAGATTAAAACAATGAGAATTTTGCAATGTTATGAATTTGTGTCATTATAATAGATTGAAAAAATTGATAAATTGTGAAGATGGATTTTAAAATGAAATGTTAAATGAAGATATCTTTTTCATGGGATACACAAAGTTTTATTCATCTTTTATATAAATGTACCAAGTCATTAAAAAAAAAATAAATACGTGCGTACATCATTCCTTTCTAGCAAGTGATAAATAAAATAAAATTGTTGTAGTTTTATAGACAATAGACATGGCAGTAACTTACCCCCTCCTTTTTTTTTTTATTTATAGTTCTAAAGTCTAAAATACATTTTCAACAAATCATTATTCATGGCAAAAACTAACAAGTTGACTTAAATAAAATAGCTATCTAAATAATGTTCAGATTAGTTTCATTTCCTTAGGTTCTTAAAAAAAATAAATAATAGTCAAGTTGAAAATAATTTGCAATTTATATTTTACCTTTTATGAACAAATTTTTTCCTTGGATTTCAATGGCAAATCCCATGAGAAGAT